CCAAAGAAAGACGACCATCACGGTCATTCGCATGAGGTATATGTCACAAAGTATTGCGTTTGGGTTTACCATTGCTCCTATTTCTGTTGTGCCCCATATCCTTGGGCTGAAAGCAAAACAAACGAGGGACTAAAGATATCCTTAAGAGAAGCCTAAGTTGCGCAAGGGCACTTCACTCTTGCGCATAAAATTGCGGTTTATAAGATTCTTTCGGCAGTAAATATAACGTATAATTAATTAACCGTTTCTAGCATCGGAGGTCAAAATTCGGTGTTGCTAAGGATTTGGACCTTTGAAGAGTAAAAATTCGGAATACGTATGTAATACGAGATCTATTTCTCGTTAAAAGTCAGCAAACATCTTGACTAATATAAGTAAAATCTTATCCTTTGGGAATTTAGTCAGCAATGCAAGCTAATCGCTGAAGGATGTATAATTCCGTGTCCACCGTTAAATCAACACGACTTGTAACACATGTCCAGCACAAAGCGGCACGCCTTCATGATATACAAAATCAGGGTTTAAATTGGCCACTTTAATTTGCCATGCAGTTCCAGCGGAATGCAATTGTAAGTACATGCGTGTATCCAACAGCACTCGTCTGCACGTCAGTTTGGATCAGTCTGAGCCATGATCGCTTAGGTACAACCAAACGTTCAATAACTGAACTTATTCCAGACTTAGGTGTATCAATCCGTTGACCCCAGCGCTCTGTCGAAAAGACAGATGTCAAACAAATGTGCGCGAATTTCGGAATAAAGTTAAAGAAGTCATGACAAAGGTCATATGAAGCCAAAACAACAGCTACTCATACTCCGAGCAGATGGCGTTATTCCGGGCCATGTTCCTATATAAGTCAGTAGGCCTACAAATGTCCTAATTGATCATTCCTGCCAGTAGATGTACTACCGACAAGATAAACGGAGCTAAACTGGTGACAGCGGACTTGGTTTACTTTCTTCATAACGACAAATCAACAAGGGTTCATGAAAATTGATGGCTATCCCTTTATCGTTGCGTCCACGATTAAAAGTGGACCTTCATACATTTTATCGCAATGGTATTGACATCACTAAGTACGGATAAACTCAAAGTACGGTTCACTGCATGTTAGGAGAACAGTCCAATACCTAAGTTAAATTTAGAATAATGTGCGGTAAAAAATTTAAATTAAGGCTATGCATGAATTCAAAAGGTCAGCAGAACGTGTGAGCCCAGTGATCATCTTGGCAATTTTTTATTGTGATGGCTGACGCGACAGCACGTCTACGGCATCACATAACGCGTTGTTGCATAAACTGCTGAGATCTCTGTCAATTCTTCGTGCACTTTTAAGTGAAAAAGGTCAGCAAACTGTTTAAAAGCTACCCGACGATCAAGGATTTTACAAGCCAATTGCGGACAGCCAGTATGATACAACAGGACGAAAAATAATTTTTTTAGTCGTTCCAAAAGCTAAAAAGCAGATAAAAAACGACTGAAAGCATTCATTAAAAGTAGTGGGAATCTGCACGTGGGCATACAGTAGATGTGCTAGCTCATGAAATGTCAACCAAAATTTCGAAATGCGTTCTCGTTTCGAAAAGATAAATTAAGTAGTGTTGTAAAACTAATCATGATGCAGCATAAATCTATGATCATCCAGTTACCTCAGGGTGTCGGCTTTCGAAAGCACTTATTTTGGGCTGCATGAAAGATCTATACTCTGCAAAAAAAGACTACTTAATAAGCATGCAATTTTCTCATTGATTTTCGATGCCATTGAAAATTCAATTATATTTCATGGAAAACATGTATAAAAATATTAATTCTTTTACTTATTCGGTAGAAAATCACGTTTTCTTCCAATTTCATACTCAAAAGAAAAGTATACTTCGGTTTTAAAAAAAGTTCGAATTGTGAGATTTTTTAATACCGTTAAATGGCCGTTCATGAAACGTCATGTATCTGAATTTACAAATGTAGCTTGTAAAGTTAACAATATTGCTCAAATCCACTGTTTAATTTTATGAACCTCATATGATCTCCTCTTAACACCGTAGAGAAATGCATGGCTTTCCGTACACGGAAAATATATAGTTTGTAGTTTTGAAACCCTGAATGCAAGTGTAACAGCAGGTCGGGTTCAAAATCATTCGGGAATTAGAATTTTTTTTAAAACCAAATTATACTCTTCTTTTGAGTATGAAATTGGAAAAAGACGTGATTTTCTACCGAATAATTAAAAAATGAATATTTTTATGCATGTTTTCCATGAAATATAATTGAATTTTCAAGGGCATCGAAAATCAATGATAAAATTCCATACTACTTAAGTAGTCCTTTTTGCAGAGTAACGATCTTGCATGCAGCCGAAAATAAGTTCTTTTGAAAACCGACACTCTGAGGTAACTGGATGATCATAGATTTATGCTCCATCATGATTAGTTTTACAACACTACTTAATTTTTTTTTTCGAAACGAGAACGCATTTCGAAATTTTGGTTGACATTTCATGAGTTAGCACATCTACTGTATTTGCGGTTGGCCAGACCGACCTTTTCCATGTTCACTGGATTGTTTAGCTGGATGCGCGCAATGAATTGAGGAAACCAAGGTAAAAAGACAAATCTAATAAATGTATGTTGATGCGAGACAGCGTACAAATACTTAATGCAGAGTTGTTAAGGTTGTAAAAAGGTATTCAGTAATAGGTGATTTAAGGAAATCCGTAATCGAAAGCGTTTAAATGATTTCAGACAGAAACCAAAGAGACAATAATAAGACCATTGGCCGTTTATTAATAAACATCAGCTAAAATATTCCTTTCTACCCATTTCTGGCAATCGTCATTAAATTCTTCGGATGATTTTCTGGTGGAGGTTTAGGTATTTGCATTTGCTAGCTCATTGCCTGAGAGTGTTGAACATAATGCCAGTTTTGAATTCACAATCAGACAGCACTTTGCACGTGTTTGTGTTTCTAAGTGTTGATCAGAGTTCCTTAAATAATTACAGAAGATTCGGGATTGGCTCAAGGTAATCTACTGAGAATAACAACTAATGCTTTCAGTTTTCATAACTAACCCTGCTTAACTAAAACTTTGTTTTTGTTCTTTAACTTTGGTTTTCGCAGTTCGCAATCTGCTAATTAAAGTTACATATATAGAGAGATCCCAACACAACTGTCTCCTTGACCGATGACAGGACACCAAAAACTCTGTTTCCCTCATAAAATTACTTTTCCCGGCAATTCGGTCTTTAAACGACAAATCGATAGTTATTTTCCAACAAGTCCTGAAGCTTTAATAAGACATTAGTATTTTGGCATATCAGTGGTTTGGAAACAGTTTTTATCAAAAGTAATGAGTTTCAAGCTTGAGATTGGTAATGCTTGCACAAAACAACCGCATTTTACTTAACTAACAATAGACTTTGACCAAAAACATGAAACATTACCCATCCTGAGAAGACGCAAATAAACTTCAGTGGTGCTAC